TGTCTAAATATCCTCTTCTTATAAGGACACAGTCATATTGGATGAGGGTCCACCCATATGACCTCATTTTACCTTAATCGCCTCTTCAAAGGGTTCTGTGTTCAAATACAATCACATTCTGAGGTACTGGGAGTTACAGTTTCAACATATGAATTGTGGAGGGGACACAATTCAGCCCATAACACTTCTGATAGATTAGCAATGACAAGATCTCTCCTGTTTTCTTTCCTGCTAGGATGTCTGATTAACAAAGAATCTTCCTTTTAAAAAAAGAAAGAAAAACAGATGTGGCTCCTCTCTAACACTCCCCAGCCTACACCACCAAGAATAAGAATTTTTTGACGTTATTTTCTTCATTTGAAGTATCAGATCACATCTGCACTGGGCATGTTTTCAAATCTTGGGCAAGATCTCAGAATAGTAAGGGGCACAACTTTTGCACTAAATTCCTTTAAGAAATAGACTTGCAGACTTGCAGCAATTTCAAAACAAAGAAAGAAAGAAAGGAAAGGAAAATGCTGATAGAAGTGCTGCTGCTGACATACCCTTGAGGCCATTCTTTCAAACCATCCCCCTGGTACTTGATGCCACAAAACCACTGTCCTTTGACAATCTCCCAATTGTCTGGCCCAGTTGGGCCCCAGACCAAAACTAAACACTATTTTCTTCTTGGGACCTGATTGTAGCATTTCCTACTGAATCTAAGAACCTAAAAATCTTCCCTGAAATGTATCCTAAATAACATATCCTAAAATAACATAATAACATATCCTGAATAACATCCTATAAAACATAAAGTAAAACATCTAACTTTGTAAAGATTTTGTTAAACACCAACTACCTAAACTTTGATGTAAGAAATAAGTCGATTTTAAGTGGAAATGGTCCAAAGAAGGCTCTTCTTTGAAGAAATGGCCGCTGGCTCTTTTGTTCTTTGATTTTTGCAGGAGACACGGTGAGAGATTTTGTATCCCTTTCCGTATCTTTTTGTGAAATCTAATCCTGTTTTGCTAGAGGTTGCCTTCCCTGTTCAGTCTGCCATGCCAGTGGGGGTGAAAAGTTGCATTTTAACCCAGCACAGAGCTTGAGAAAGTTTATTCACATGGTACTGCTGAACAAAGTCAGTCTCCCTGTGATGGCCCCAGCTCCTAGATGAAATATCCACTTTCCCTATGATGTTATCATAAATATAATACCAAAAGATTACTATATTTTGGACAAGGTGACTGATTTTGAATTTCCTAGCTCTACTGAAATGAAAATAAAAGACTACTCAGTACTGTAATGGGAACATATTTGGCAAGCCTATTTTTCCTTTCTTGTGGATGGGAATAGTAGGGGTTGAAATGTAAGACTCTTGGGTCTTTTCATGTTTCCTTACTCTTGGCTGACCAAATGCAAACCTGATTCACCTGTATGGGTCATAGAAGGCCTTCCCCTGGTTAGGAGACTTCAATCTTCACCTACATACTCCATTAAAATATAAAAAGAGGAACCCCACTGACCAGACCAAATGTAGTTATCTCATGCTAATTAACTTTCTCCTCCTCCATGGCCCAAGCATGTGCTGCAAACCCCAAGGTGCCCATTTTGCAAGAAAACGTGGTCCCAAGTGGAAAATTTGAGTTGATGGAAATCTCTAGAAAATTGGCTCATGAGCAATTGCCTACCAGTATGGGTCAGTAACATCAAATTTATTTAGAATACTGGTAATTTAAAATATTTGTAAGTTAACTATTAAATGTCTGTGTTCTAAATTTTATTTTCTATGAGGGCAGGGATGGATTGAATGAATGAAGAATCAAGTAAAAGAATAAATAAAAGCACCATAGAAAAAGTACAGGATTTGGATGTTGAAGCCTTACCTATGAATCTTAAAGGTTTCATTCTCTTGTCATAAACGATGACTTTTTAAAATGATGCCTGTGTTCCTTACATCATGCTAAGTATTTTAATCTTCACGTTTCTCCTCTGAAATAAAAATAGCTAATATTTCTGAGAGAGTCGTCTGGGATCCTGTCTCTTGGCTGACCTACCATCCCGGTTTGCTTAGGATTGACAGTGTTCCTAGGATATGGGACTCCAGACACTAAAATTGGGAAACTCAGGAAAATTAGGATGAGTCGGTCCTGCTGCAACAATGAACTAACTGCTTTTTATTCATTTTTATTTGATCTAATCCTCACCAAAGCCCTATTAGATAAACAGATACTTTTATTATCCTCTTTTACTGATGAGGCTATGGAGGCACAGTCACGCTAAGTAATAAAAACTCAGGACTATCTTGTGGAGGAGCCCGAGGACTAGCCATCAGAGTACTGCACTGCCTCCTGTCAGTATAATAGGAACCACAGTGACCCACCTCAAGGGTCTCACCTGGCCATTGAGATGATGATAATGAATTCACGTGCACCGTTTTACTGTCTGCAAAGCCCTTCCTCATGAAACCCTACAGTGAAGGGAGGCCACTAAAACCAGGTTAGGTCAGCCTCTGTTGACCTCCAGTGGAAATTTTGTGGCCCATTACTCTGGGCTCTGGTCAACCATTTTCTCACATGTGTTTTTAGAGAAGACACACAGAAAATAGGAGAGGAAGGCAACAAGAAATCAATCTTCATCAGCAAGTTATTTCCTCCAAGAGGACTTTTTGATCATTATTATAACGAAACACATTTCTTTCTCCAAAGTCTGTGCTAAGGTTGAGAGAACAACTTTAACAGAAGAATAAATGAGTGTCTTAAAGTGGCAAGGTTGTAAATTGCCCATCAGGTCTAAGGATTCATGGTTGGTTGCATTCTTTTTATTTATCTCTGAGCGTTCCCTGGTCCTCCACCTGGAATTGCCCATACTAATATGTATTTTTCATTTCAGCCAAACCCTGAAGTTACATGCAAGAGGAAATTTAATAAGCAGGGTTAGACAGATGCATTCAATGAATGTAGTAAACCTTTCCCCAATAGCAGTTCAAGCAAGCTTATATACTTTAATTGAAAATAAATGCTGTGTAAATGAAGTATATAACTACATACCTTGTAGACCCTTGAAGAAAATGAATTGATTTTAAATTACACCTGATGAAATACCACATTTTTAATATGTGATGATTTTTACGGGCACCTTTTTGGCTCCCCAGTGCCTTTAAAATTGGGCACAAACACCTTCTCTTGACTGTCAAGTCTTTCCTCAGCATATTTCCAATTTATTTTTTTCTGTTCCCTAATCTTCTTGCCAAGCTGGACTTCCTATACTATCTTATCTGCATGCCTTTGTTCAGGCTCTAGCTTCCTCCTGCAACCCCTCTCCATCCTTCACCTGCACCTGTGAAACTTGTAATGAACATCTTGTTATTCACAGCCACCCAGCATCCACTTCTTCTCTTTTTCAGCTTTATAGCACCCTTTTTTCTTTTGAGGTACCACTCCTGCCCAAGCACAATCCATGGATTCTGTAGGGTTTAGTCTATCTTTCACTCCAGAGGTAGGCATTTTCTCCATACCTCTCCCATCAAAGATCTGCCTGTACATTTTTCTGGATTTATCAGAAAAAGAGCACTCTCTTTTTGCTGAAGTGATGAAGCTGGTAACGAGCAGAGTCTGAGAGAGCTGGTGTCCATTCTTATCTCTACAGAAAATAAACCCATCTGAAAACAAAGCCAACACAGGGTAAAACAGCCAAGAAATGGAGAAGTAGCTCTTTAAGGGCATCATTAGACACCCTGGATCCAACTGTGCCTGAAGCAGGATACCCCTTTTGTGGTTAGTTAAGTCAACACATTTTTCTATTTTTGTTTCAACTAGTTGGAATTGGGATTTTGTCACTAAAAACTAGAAAATAAAAATCTTGATTATGCAAAACCCTACCCATAATTACGGGTTCATCTTAAAAGTCACCAAATTTCTAAAGCTTTCTTGGCCTCAAACACTGCGTAGCCTTTTTTACTTTAAAATCCCCTAGTACTCTGTACCTGTCTATGATATATCTCATCATCCATTTTTCTATTTTTGTTTCAACTAGTTGGAATTGGGATTTTGTCACTAAAAACTAGAAAATTAAAATCTTGATTATGCAAAACCCTACCCATAATTACGGGTTCATCTTAAAAGTCACCAAATTTCTAAAGCTTTCCTGGCCTCAAACACTGCGTAGCCTTTTTTACTTTAAAATCCCCTAGTACTCTGTACCTGTCTATGATATATCTCATCATCTGCATTAAGTTAAAATTATTGATTGATCCCACAGGACTGTAAGCAACTTGAAGACAGGGACTGGGTCTTGTTTTTGATTTCATCACACTTTTGCACATAGTGACTGTTACTACCCATTTGTGAATTTCATTAGATCAAATTTACTTTGTACTAAAACCATTAAAAAAACAACTTAAGATCACCCCAAAATAACTTTCATACAGATTTTGCTCAGCAGTCAGAAAAAATATTGTCAGGAAAGGCAGAAAAGATATAAATATGGAGAGAAATTACTACCCATTTGTGAATTTCATTAGATCAAATTTACTTTGTACTAAAACCATTAAAAAAAACAACTTAAGATTACCCCAAAATAACTTTCATACAGATTTTGCTCAGCAGTCAGAAAAAATATTGTCAGGAAAGGCAGAAAAGATATAAATATGGAGAGAAAAGGCATAAATATGTTTATTTCTACATCTTTAACAATGTGATTACTGTGATTTATAGTGCATATAAAATCTTTTAATATCATCAGCAAGGTAGAGATTTAAAAATTAGGTGCCTACAAAGGGATGTTATATGTAAAATATATTTGGACTTTGTCCTCGGTTCCTGGCAGAGAGCTCCTAAAACTTTTGGAATTTTTTGAGTGACATGAGTGTCTTTTATGACCCATAGGAACCCCTTGTGATCACACCTGAGTTTATGCTGATGAGATGATTTAGGGAGGGGCCTAGATAGCCTCAGAGTAGGGCTGGTCACTAGCAAGACCAAGTGATTAGAGGGTTGGACCTTTCAGCCTCATCCACCAACCTCTGGGAAGTGGGAGGAGCTTCCAAATTGGTGATCACGTCAATCAGCTGTTGAGAGGGTGGCACATCTGGAGAGGGCACGGAAACTCCATATCCCTTTCCCCATGCCTTGCCCTATGCGTCTCTTCCATTCAGCTGTTCCTAAGTTGTATCCTGTATAATAAAACAGTAGTAGTAAGTAGACTGTTTGGTTGCGTTCTGTGAGCCATTCTAGCAAATTATACAATCTGAGGAGGGGGTCATGGGAAATCCTGATTTATAGCTGATCAGTCCAAAGTACAAATGGCAACTGAAGTGGGGACAGTCTTATGGAACTAAGCCTTTAATTTATAGGATCTAACACTAACTCCAGGTACATGGTGTCAAAACTGAATTGTAGCACATCCAGTTGGTGTCCATAGAATTGGAGAACTGGTTGTTGGTTTTGGAACACATCCCAGAAAAGGACTATAAATTCTTCAGGAAAAGAACAGTGAGAAAACATGGGTTTTCCAATCAGAACACCTGGATTTAATCTGGACTTTCCTGTTATGTGACTTTGGGGTGAATTCCTTAATATTTGCAACCGTCCATTTCTTAATATCTAAAATGACAAAAATAACTATTGCTGAAGGATTGTTGTCAGGATGGAGTGAGAAGACAGATGTTGTATATTAGTTATGATATAGGTCCAGCTGCTGTCAGAGAGATCCATAATATTGATGGTTCAACGAGAAAGATTTTAACTTCTCTCCCATGTAACAGAGAAGCTTACAGGTAGTCTGGGGCTGGAATGGTGGCTCCACAGTGTCACGAACCCAGCTCCTTCTATCTTCTGGCTCTGCCATCCTTGCTATGTTGTTCTCATCTTTAATTATCCAAGATAGCTTTCCAACACGATCTCATCCCTCCCATCAGAAAGGGAAAAGGCAAAGTGGAAAGTATGCTCCCTTCTCTTAAAGACATGATGAAAGTTTCCCACACTGGTTGTTCACATTCCAGTGGACAGAACGTAGTCACACACCTAACATGTAACCACATCTAGCTATGGAAGAAGTTAGAAACTGTAGTGTTTATTCTCAGCAGCAATGGCTTAAGTAATATTATGGATTTTTTAAAAAGTATTCTTATTACTAGAAATGAAGGAGGAAACTGATATTAGAAGACAACATGGGATTCATTTAAATCACCAGGCAAATTTTGTGGCATACTTGATATTACCTCTTTCCATCTCCTTTTTACTTACAGGTGTATTAAAAATTCTGTAATGTAAAAATGATAATAAATCATTTAATATTAACATCTATAGTATGTTTTAATAAAGAAATGATATATTTTCTAAAACAATATAATTAGTGAGAAAAATTACATTGTAATATATTTTTTGCATATGTCAATATCTGGATTAATAAAAGACATTTGGATTCTCAAAAAAAAGAAAAGAAAGAAGATTCTGAGTGGTATTCATTCATTGTTGGTGGCTTTGTCAATTGGCAAACTTCTGGAAAAAAATTCATAAAAATTCACAGAAGTCTTGATAACCCAATTCTTCAGGATTTATCCAAATGAAATAATACATAAGTAGAATCTGTTCATTCCAGTGTTATCTGGAAGAGCACTACTGTTAAAGTCTTGATATTCCATAGAAGTAGACCATATGCCATCCCTTCTCTTTCCAAGACCAGCTTTGAAATCCTCCTTTGCTGGTCCTAGATACCATGATGTTACCTCAATGCCTGGGCCAGTGCCAATTGGATTAAAGATTGTTAACAGGCTGGGTTCCTGGGAAACAGGCCTCAGATATTAGCACAGGAGGTATTCTGGGGATCAACACCTGTGGGGAAGGGAGGTAAACACAATTGGGCAGAAGGAAAAGTGAGCAGTAATGCTGTCATAACAAGGCTTTAGCCAACCCCACAAGGAGCTCTAGAGCAGGGATGACCCTTCAGAGGTGTCCTACATCACCTACCATTAGATGTGGGCTGCCCTTGGGAAGAAAACATGACTTTGGATGAAGAGGCTATCTTCAGGCAACAGCAAGTCCCAGGGAAGGATTCAGCTGAGAACTGTCTGCAGCCAACACTGCTCACATCTGGGAGGATGAGCACCTCAGTCCTGAAAGGGAGATCTGGGCTGCACAGTACGGTGTGCCCTATAGGGGTCAGCACTGAGCCAGTAAGATACTACAGGGGTCAGCACTGAGCCAGTAAGATACTACAGGGTCAGCACTGAGCCAGTAAGATACTACAGGGGTCAGCACTGAGCCAGTAAGATACTACAGGGTTCAGCACTGAGCCAGTAAGATACTACTGTGTATGATTCTGAAATGGGAGACAAGGAAACCAGAAGTGAGGAGGCAAGTTTGCTGCAATGTTTGAGGCAGAGTCTACAAACTCATGTAGTTCTCAAAGCCACCTGGTTCCTGATTTTCTCGATGCCTGGGTATTGAATTATTCATTGGATTTAATTAGTTTCTGTTACCAAAGGAACCTTAATAATTTTCCAACAACCCAGGAATGATTATGACTATGACAGAATAGTACATAGCCATCAAAAAGATAATAATGTGTAGAACCACAAAAATATGTCCAAGATATAATTTTAGGTGAAATTAGAACAGAAAATATTTCTCTTTGTAAATATTATAAGTAAAAGAAGTAAATACATCAAAGGACATTATTAAGAAAGTGAAAAGATAACCTACAGAATGTGAGAAAATGTTTGTGAATCACATACAAGGGTACTTCAAAAAGGTCATGGAAAGACTTGTATTGTCTTTCAATTCTATTTTTCCACAA